CCGGTTTAAAGTGCTGTTCTCGTTCATGGCTACAAGTGTAGTAGGTGTGGTGATATGCTGCTACTGGGGGTGTCACGTCTACTTGGTACTTACGGAGCAGAGCACGATTGAGTTTTTGCAGCGCGAAGGAGAGAGGATACGACTCTCCGTTAGTTTTGCGTCTGTACGTCACGCTCTTGGACGACTACTAGGCAGGCAGGACGCGTTGTGGTTTACTGCGCTCGTATTGCCACCATTTGAACGTCGAGTGCCACCTAAGTACATGCAGAAGCCGAAGGGGGCAGCTTCGACGACTGTATAATTCCGAGAGATGTGACATCCAGTTTTTTATCTCTCCTACTTTGTGGCTACAACTCTCGATACGGAGACCTGAAAGCTAAATCACAGCATTTATTTCTTTATAGGCTACTCCGATACCAGCGAACCAAGCGGGTTCGTATTAGTGGCAAGCGTGAACTGCGAATTAGCCACAGCAGCCTCGTAGGACACGTCTCGGGTTTGATGGTGATCACGTAGTCGGTATGCTCCGCAACAAGCTTCAAAGCCTTGAACGAAACTGCGGGTAATACACTGCTGCTGTCAGCGGGAAAAACAAGCGTGGGAGACCTTCGTAAAGCTCTGCGTTGACCTCAGTAGTACACAGTTGGTAGGGCGACTGCTGCGCTTAAGTTAGCTTGAGAGTCCATCACCTGGCAACAGACAACAACAATTCCGACTGGTGTATCGGTATTTTTAACCGGTCACTCTGCAGATAACATCGGCTGTCAATGGGCGAAAGGCGTGTCTGACAACGACATGTTCGCACACGGATCATCAGTAAAGCAACCGTGAGCTCCGACCGTTGGTTTCCCAACGACATACGAGCACTTTGTTACACGGAGTTACCGAAGCGCCTTTTAGGCTCCAATCATTTCATATCCGAAGACAATGTCGCTTGTAACTCGATCACAATGATGGTCACGACATGCACTCATACGAGCGACATCTTGCACCCGAAGAATTATATGTATTAATAATTGAAATTACGCTGTCCTCTATTTTTATCTTTCGTTTATTAATAAAACTGAAATTACAGGGGTTATAATAAAGATATCCATACTGTTAGTACGCCACAATCATTTCAGCTTTTAATCCACATTGAAATGAAATGAAATTTGCGCCCTCTGCTGAAGTAGGACTTCGCTGGGCTTGTGCGATTTTAGGTAGGGGTAGGCAATTTTGTGTACACATGCCACAGAATTTTTCATATACTACAACAGGCATGCCCTTTCAGAGAGGCCGCGGTAGAGTACCGTATTTGAGATCTCCTACTTCAGACCCAATATTTTTGAAGTTGTATTGTTGCAAAATACACAAGATCTGTACACGTACCGACGCATCTCTATCACGTATTATTTAAACAAAACAATTTAGTTATCAAGTTCTTCTTCGAAAACTACGAAGTTTTCTATGTCGTGACGCCCACAGCATGGCGCACTACGGGCACTTCTTCCAGCAACCGTCGTAGCAGCTCTGTAACGGGGTACAATCCAGTGTGCCCCATGTTACATAAAGAGTGACCCGTCACTCTTGTGGACACCTGGTACACGGTACCAGGTGCTCTCGGAGCCAGTCAGTGCATGACTACTTAGCTCCACTATAGGTAACCTCTAGTTTGTATGAGACCCAAGCTTATCTTACTTATAAATACATCAGTCTTAAATCTACTCCTCTAAGTAGCAAACCGTTCCCACTGAGGCCGGGAACACGTGGACTTACGTTCACTCGGGTAGTTAATACCCTTAAGCACTTCCTCTGTGCAAGGTGCTGTGTGACCCCGTCACACTTGGTAGCACTCGTAGTCAATCCAACACCATCGCGGGTAGATTGAACTACCTGAATCCTCTGTGCGCTCAACGTTTGAGCCAAGATGGACCGAAGCGAGTTTCCTCGCTTGAACGACTCACAGTACGAGTCTGTTCGGAAGATGGGAGGCATCTTTGGACAAGATGTCCTTCGCAGCTTGGCGGCGGCGACGCCTGCCGAGCAACAAGAACGCGTGACCGCGTTTGAGACCTACGAGCGTGGTCTCATCGCTCACGTCCGCGGGGGCTTGGAGGCCACGATGGCCGCTCCCCAGGCAACCAGGCCTAAGCCGGTGTGGCTGAAGGTCCCCGCGTTTGAGGGGAAGGAAGGAGAGAACCTTCACTTCTGGGTCCGTGAGGTGGAGATCGCCATGAAGGCGGGTCTCATCTCGGACGAGCCAGTTCGGGTGGCGTTTTCCCTGTCCAACCTTGGTGGGCGTGCCAAGCACTGGGCATACACCAGGGAGACGACATCTGCATCCTGGGCTCAGCTGTGTGAGCAGCTTCGAGCCGCGTTCCTACCGGCGAACGACGAGTTCCGCCAGCGCTCACGCTTTCTCGCGTGTAAGCAAGGTAAACGTGAGCTGCAGGAGTACGCGCAAGAGATGCGCACGTTGGTGGCATCTCTGGCAGGGAATCCTCTTCCTAAGACATTAAGACAACAGTCTTCATGGACGGCCTGAAGGTCGGTCCTGCTCGCACCCAGCTATTCCGGGTGCAAGCGACAACTATGGAGGAGGCGATTCGAATCGACCTCCAAGAAGAGTACAGCCACAAGCAGGCTGGTACTCTTCGGGAAGAGGAACATCGCCACGATGAGAATGGCGTTCCTCGGGAGGCGGAGCATCGCAGCAATGACGCTGTTGCTCCTGCTGTCACGCAGCCCGTTGATACCGGTGCGTACAGCGAGCCCGAGCCCATGGACTTAAGCTCAGCAGAGAGCTTGGTCCGCTGCTATGGATGCGGCGGACACGGACACTACCAGCGTGTGTGTCCCTCGCTCGTCCTCGGGAAGAAGACAGCCCGTGGACCCCAAGTCCGGTGGCGCAGGCCACGGCCAGGTGGACGAAGACTCTCCGGCCACCAGTAGAGGCGGTATGCCCTACTGAAGAGCGCTAAGCCTTCGTGATGGGTGTGCAGGTTGTGCGCACCACGGGACTTAGCCCAGAGAGACGTGGTTCTCTCAAACCGGTGAAGGGCAGGGGTGGGCTGCTGGTAGTACACTCGGTGTACGGGGGTACGGTACCCCTTGAACGTTTGATTAGTTCTGGGGCGTTGATACGCCGCCGAAACGTCGCTTGGCATAGCGACATTCGACTGCACTCTATGTCAGAGTGGCGGTCGTGGGCTGGTCCTTGGTGGACTAGCCTTTGGTACGGTGAAGGAAGTACCAATGGTCCTCAACGGACCTGAGCGTTTCGGCTCGATGAACTCGCGCACCGCGGTGTCGCTCGCAGCTCTCGCCATGAACAACATGGCTGTGTCGAACATAAGGCACAGCCCGGACTTTGGTGTGGCAAGGCTGAGAAGGGCCTGCCAGTCAAGGTCTAGGACGGAGCATTGGTGAGTCATGTTCCCACCTCCGTCATGACTGGGGCGTCTGATACAGACCACCAGGACGCAGAAGCGTCACGGAGCTGTCAACGCGCCGACAGCTCTGCGTACAGCAAGACCATACTCCGCTGCGGCAATGCCATGGGCGTGGGTCTTTTGCCCGGCGTGTGGACCTGCTACACCAGCAGCGTCCAACGCCGAAGGTCGTCGCGCCGTACGGGCTTCGACAGTGGTTATGCCTTTAAGCGCTAACCCGGTGGGTAACTTAGGACCACACGGTCGCCCAGACCTTAACTGAAGAGGAAGGCGCTGAATGCGCTTCCTGTGTGGATAACACAGTACCACACGCAGTCGCCCAGACTATAACTGAAGAGGAAGGCATGGCCATGCTTCCTGTGTGGGTAACACAGTACCACACGCAGTCGCTCAGACTATAACCGAAGAGGAAGGCATTGTCCATGCTTCCTGTGTGGGTAACACAGAGCCACACGAGTTCTCGAGTGCCTCTGATGTCGTCAACGAGACATCACGACGTGGGTAACAAAGTGCCACGTCACGTCAGCCGCAAGTCGGGTCTGAACCTTGTTCAGGCCGACGTCGCTTCAAGCGACTCGGAGTCCAGGGCCCGGACTCCTCTGACTCGTTCGGTGGACACCAACTCTGACCGGTGTGTGGGCGGGTCTGCCACACCAGCCGATCCCAACACCGAAGAGCATTCACCAGGTGGGTAACATAGGTCCACACTGCGGGTAACAAGTTCCTTAAGCAGCGAAGCTGCTTAAGGAGACCGACATTCGGTGCTCCGAGCGTGGGTAACAAAGCTCCACGCAAGGTCACTCAGACCATAACTGATAAGGAAGTCGCTGTATGCGCTTCCGGTGTGGGTAACAGAGTTCCACACCCACGGCGAGTAACATAGCGCCGCACACAGAGCCATTGGCTCGAGGCGCGAGGTTGTCTTGGCCTCGCCGGACGTGAGCAACTCGCTCGACGTCAAGTCGCGCAGACCAAAACTGCTGACGCGAAGGCTGAATGCCTTCGGTCGACACGGCCGACGCGGTCGACCATACCGACGCAGTGCACATGGCGGAGAGCCGTTGCGCCTGCCAGTGGCTATTAGAAGCCACGAGAGACTCAGTAGTCTCGAGGTTAAGTGGGGGAGAGGCTCGGAAATACCTTTCCTCCCTGACTTTCCAAGAGGCAGGTAGCCGTCGTGCTGCCAGTGGCTATCACAAGCCACGAGAGACTCAATAGTCTCGAGTGTAAGTGGGGGAGAGGCTCGGAAATACCTTTCCTCCCTGGTCTTGAGGTAAGACCAAGATCCTTACGGAACCAGGCGTCGATGTACATCGACTGCAGGCTGGAGGCGAACAGCCGGGCTAGAGCTGCGGTAGCTCTAGCCGAACAAGACATAGTGGCGAAGAAAGCCACGGGCGCAAGGTGCCTCGGAATCGCTGAGCGAATCAGCAGTGTTGGGGTTGCAAGCAACCACACACGAGGCGAAGCGCGGGCCTAGTGTAAGTCCCTTGGTCATGAACAACCTGTCGAGTAGGGTGAACGGAACGTCTCACCCGCCGACAAAGCGGTTGCGGTACGTGATGTACGCAACGCGCCGGGTATAATGGGCCGCGGAGCCATAACCCAAGTGTGGTGCACGAGTGCACACACAACTGACCAGGTGGTGGTCGAGGCAAGGCACGCAGTCGTAACTGGTGCCGCGCCGAGCATGACACCGTGGCGACGGCAGCTTGCCTCACCATGGGTTGGTACCCGTGAGTACTCGGTGTCAATGCCAGACACCAACGCCGCAGTGGCATGGTGGTGAGATATGCCCCACCACGGTCGAGTACCATCAAGGTACATGGTGTCTGTGACAGACACTGGTATAGGTGCAAAGAATATG